TAACTCTCTCCTTCTGTTACTTCATTCTTTCCTTGCTTTGTTTGTGCATCTTGTCCAATTCTTTGTTCAAGATGCCAAGAACCTGGATACCCTCCACCAGTAACAGAGACTATGGAATAAAGGGCTTAGGTTTTGGTGTCTTTTTCTGTGGTCTGGCATAATGTCTTACAAAATAGGCACTAAATTATTACTTCATTAAAGTGTGGAGGATTACATGGCCACTGGAACCGAGTATAAACCAGTTCCGAGATAGAAGGCAGGGCTGCAGGCAGACACATGCATAGAACAGCCAAAAATAGAGGTGAAAAGAAACAAAATCAGAGAAGAAGATGGAAGTGGGAATAGGGAAAGATAAAGAGACATATAGAGGGAAGGCAGCTAATGCTTTTATTTGAAGATATGCAGTTCCCTTCTACATGTAAGTCCTTTGAAAATTTCATTTCTGTTCTGTTTTCATTGCTGAAATTCTTTTAAGCAATGCCTTACTTGTAAGCTAGCCCCAACATATCTCCTGCACATATCCTTCTGAGACAGAACATGGGAACTTGCTGGTTAGTTTAGAGTCTTTGCCTGAAGCCCATTAGAGCCATAATTGCACTCACTGTAATCTTCTCACAAGGTGCAGTGTGCTATTATGTCAGCCTACAAGGTCACAGTCCTCATTGTAAACAAACCTGTTTATGACAATTGCTGAAAAGCAATCTCTGTCTCTCAAAGGTCCATGGCTTCATTAATGAACTTGTAATCCCAAGCACACCTGTTTATCTGATTTATGGATATTTCTGTCTCCTCAACAGACTCATACCTTTATATGCCAGTCTCAGGGATCTTCTGGCTTGTCTGACAACAATAAGATTGAGAATGGCTCATCATTGTTCTTCAGTTCCACACCCTGAAACCCACAAGACCCTCTCTGGGGAACTAAAAAGTAAAAGTCATGCTCTGTTGCTTTCAAATGTTTTTAAAACACACAACCATTCATGGCAGACACCAAGTGTCCAACAATATGAGTAAGACTCCCTGAGGGAGGTCACACTGAGTCAAGATTCTGCATTAACCCTATCAGCTGCTTTATTCTAGAACAGCACAAATAAAGAATGTGTAGATAATTTTTTTTTTACTTCTGAGATTATTAAATCTAGTAAAGCTAATTATATACCCATTGTCTCCAAGACAAATGTTTCCACTGTTTCAACCCAATTTAAGTGACCGTCAACATTATCTTTCTCAGGAAGATGGCAATATCTTTCTAACAGATGTCCCTGAATTCACTTTTTCCTCATTCTGATCATTTCTCCACTCAGCAGCCTAAGTGATCTTAAAAATGTAACCTGGAATATGTCACTTACTTGCTTACAAATTGTTAGTGGCTTCTCATTCAGGCCAGTAGCCCGTAGGTCCCTTCTGGATCCTCACATGTGCTGTTCCATCTTCCTTCCACTCTTCACTCAACTAATATTTACCCTTCAGAACTTAATTTAAAGTTTGCCTCCTCAGAGGTTGCAGTGGGCCGAGATCACACACTGCACTCCAGCCTGGGTGATAGAGCAAGACTCTATTTCAAAAATAAATAAATAAATAAACAAGCAATAAAATTTGCCTTTGTACAGCTTTCCTGATTAAGCACTCCTTCCTCATTTATTCTCTCTCACATTTATCTGAAGCTGAGATTGTATATATATTTGCATGTTTATTTATTTATGGTGTATTTTTCCAAACAAAATATAAGTTCTATGAGGACAAAGAATGTGTCTATTTGTTCACTGTATACCAAGAGATGATTATAGTACCTGGCACTAGCAGATGTTTAATAAGTATTTATTGAAAAAAACAAATAAGTAAACAAATGCAGCCATTAGTAATTAGGGCTTTGGAAATATTAACTAGTATGAATAAATGTTCGTATATAATATCTAATGGATAAATATCAGATAAAAATGTATATGTAGACAATAATTACAAATTTAAAATGTGTGTATGCATAAATACCTATCTTAGAAAAACAACTAGACAAACACATCAAATATAATAATTTTTCTCTTTGCAGTGAATAATAAGTAATTTTACTTACTTAACTTACCCTTTTTTAGTATTTCCAGATTTTTTACATTAAACATGTATTACTTTAATAGAAATACTATTTTTAATCAGCTATAATCCTTTCACAGCTCCCAGTCTCCTCCCACCAGGCTCACTTCTTCATTAGTTCCTTTTTACCAAACACCATCTGCTCTCTTCTGGATTTCCACCTTGGCTCCTGCTAATCTTCTTGCCTGGAGTAGCCTTTCTATCCACCTGAATACACCTTTCACAGAAACCGCTCCTGCTCACCGAACCATCTAGCCCCCATGCATATGTGTGAGGCCTGGTGTCCAATTCTGACCAATTAGATGAAGGTAGAAGTCATGACTGCTACTTCCAGGACTAGACATAAAATCATCCCATAGAATCTTCCAGCCCTCTCTTCTCCTTGGTCATCTTGGAGGCCAGGTATTATAGCTTGCATACTTAGAAGATCCCGTACAGTATTACTTGTGTGAGTACTGACCAGAAAGAGCCCCTCAATTTCCATCAAACTGTGACACAAGCAACAAATAAACACTTATTTTGTTAAGTTCATATTATTAGGGGTTTGTTTGTTGCTGCAGTTAACATTAATTACTTGAACCCTTCAGGGTTAAGATCAAGTATTACCACTCCCAAGAGATTTTCCCTTGTAATCATTAAAATATTCATTCTTGCACGTACTTGACACTAGATCTGAGTCATTCATGCTTCATATCTGACTGTGCATTTCAGCTTTTTTTTTTTTTTTGAGACAGAGTCTCACTCTTGCCACCCAGGCTGGAGTGCAATGACACGATCTCGGTTCACTGCAACCTCCGGCTCCCAGATTCAAGTGTTTCTCCTGCCTCAGCCTCCCAAGCAGCTAGGACTACAGGCCTGCACCACCACGCCCAGCTAATTTTTGTCTTATTAATAGAGACAGGGTTTCAACATGTTGGCCAGTCTGGTCTCGAACTCCTGATCTCAGGTGATCCACCCATCTCAGCCTTTAAAAGTGCTGTGATTACAGGCGTGAGCCACTACTCCTGGCCGCGTTTTAGCTTCACAATTAAAATTTAAGCTCTTGGGAAAGTTTCATTGAAGTCTGTTAAGTCTTTTACATTATCTACATACTGTCAATTAAGTGGACAATAAAGACAAGAAAGGAAGAAGGAACTGATTGTTTGACACTGGAAAATAATCCATTCGTGTTGATCAATTGAGCAGCCCAGGGTAAATGATTGTTTTTGGCATAGAAAAATTCATGAAAAATAGGACACAGAGGTGGAAATATCTGAGGGCAAGCAGAGAATGGGAAATATGGGAGAAATAAATTTTGTAATTTTAAAGAAATTTTAGTAACCTCTGGGGAAAATTGATTCCGTGAGTATTTATTGAACGTATAATCTATGCCAAGTGTTGCAGTAGGATGTTTGTTTTGCATACATTAGTCCTCACAACAGTACCATAAATTTGGTTTTGCTATACTGGTTATATAGACTGTTCAAGAGAATGTTCAAGAGACTTTTCAAGAGATCAAGAGACTTTTCCAAGATCACACAGCTAGTAAATAACAAGAGAGTTTTCCAAGATCACACAGCTAGTAAATAACAGACCTATTCGTAACACCAGACCAGTTCCTCATTCAATCAACTCCTCAAAAAATATTTATTGAAAACAATCTATATGCCAAGTACTTTTCTTGGCACTGAGAAACAGACAAAATCTTTCCTCTTATAAAGCCTTCATTTTTAGACAGCGAGACATAAAATAAATACATGCATTTTTAAATATCATAATGTTTAAAACATAATATTGTGTTTATAAGTGCTATGGTGAAAAATAAAGTTCAGAAGAGGCTGGAGTGGGAAGATATGGGCCAGTGGAGATTACAGTATTAAATAAGGTGGTCAGGAGCGACCTGCGACAGTGAAATTTGAGTAACTTCCTTAACTAGATAAGAAAGTGAACTATGTAGATAACCAGCAAGGGCAAAAATGCTTAGGTGGGAACCTGTGGGTCTCAACTGAGGAATAATGAGGTCAGTGTGGTTGGAGCAAAGTGGGAAACAGGGCAAAGAGGAGGAGATTATGAGGTCATAGAGATTATGTGAACTCAGACCATGCCAAGTCTTGTAAGCTTTAACTGAGTGAAAGCTAAAGATACTCCCAGGTTTTCTTTTATTTTCCCCTCATAAAAAGAAACAGATGGCCGGGCATGGTGGCTCATGCCTGTAATCTCAATACTTTGGGAGGCTGAGGTGGGTGGATCACCTGAGGTCAGGAGTTCAAGACCAGCCTGGCCAACATGGTGAAACCCTGTTTCTACTAAAAATACAAAAATTAGTTGGGTGTGTTGGCAGGCGCCTGTAATCCCAGCTACTTGGGAGGCTGAGGTAGGAGAATTGCTTGAACTTAGTCGGTGGAAGTTGCAGTGAGCTGAGATCGTGTCACTGTACTCCAGCCTGAGCAACAGAGCAAGATTCTATAAGAAATAAAGAAAGAAAGAAAGAAAGAAAGAAAGAAAGAAAGAAAGAAAGGAAGGAAGGAAGGAAGGAAGGAAGGAAGGAAGGAAGGAAGGAAGGAAGGAAGGAAGGGAGGGAGGGAACGAACTATTCCTAGCTTTTCAACAAATAACAAATGACCTGGCTCAGATCTTGAAAGAGCAACTTTATTTATTTATTTGTTTATTTATTATTTGTTAATTTTATTTATTTTTATTTTTTGAGATGGTGTCTTGCTCTGTCGCCCAGGCTGGAGTGCAGTGGCGCCATCTTGGCTTACTGCAACCTCCACCTCCTGGGTTCAAGCGATTCTCCTATCTCAGCCCCCAAGTAGCTGGGATTACAGGCACCTGCCACCACACCCGGCTAATTTTTGTATTTTTGGTAGAAACAGGGTTTCACTATGTTGGCCAGGCTCGTCTTGAACTCCTGTGCTCAGGCAATCTGCCCGCCTTGGCCTCCCAGTGTTTTAGGATTACAGGCGTGAGCCGCTGCGCCCAGCCTGGAAAGAAGCACTTTAGATTTGCTGTTGAGATTAAACTTCACAAGAGGAAAGGCCAGAAATAAAAGATCAGTTAAGAGGTTACAACAGTAATCCAGGTAAGAAATGATAGCAACCTGAACCACCTGGTTGTTGACTTTGTACATAGTTGGAGTGCTGGAGCTTTTAAGATTTGTTGGTGGATCTATTAGAGTATGTGAGAAAAAGGCATAAGGATGGCTCCAAGATTTTGAGGTTGATCAACTGGAACAATGGGGTTGCTGTTTACTGAAACATAAAGACTGAGGAAAGAAGAGGTTTGAATAAGAAGTTCAGGTGTTTCCTGAAACTCTCAGATCATAAAAAAATTATTGCTAGACCTAAGAAATGAAATAGCAACACAACAATAGTAGGGGACTTCAATACTCCACTGACAGCACTAGACAGGTCATCAAGACAGTAAGTCAACAAAGAAACAGTGGACTTAAACTGTACCCTAGAACAGATGCACTTAACAGTTATTTACAAAACATTCTTCCCAACAACTGCAGAAAATACATTTTTCTCATCAGCATATGGAACATTCTCCATCAGCATATGGAACATTCTCGAACGTATCGATAGACCATACGATAGACCACAAAACAAGTCTCAATAAATTTAAGAAAATCAAAATTTTATCAAGAATCTTCTCAGGCCACAGTGGAATAAAACTGGAAATTAATTCCAAAGGGAACCCTAAAACTATACAAATACATGGAAATTAAAATCTGCTCTTGAATGTTTGTTGCATTAACAATGCAATCAAGATGGAAATTTATAAATTGTTTGAAATGAATAATAACGGTGACACAACTTATCAAAACCACTGGGATACAGCAAATGTGGTGCTAAGAGGAAAGTTCATAATGTTAAATGCCTACACCAAAAAGTCTGAAAGACGACAAACTGACAACCTAATGTCACTCCTTAAGGAACTAGAGAAGCAAGAACAAACTAAACTCAAATCCAGCAGACAAAAAGAAATAACAAAGATCAGAGCAGAACTAAATAAAATTGAAACAAACAAAAAAATACAATAAAAAAATAAATGAAATGAAAAGCTGGTTTTTTGAAAAGATAAACAAAATTGATAGACCATTGATGAGATTAACCAAGAAAAGAAGAGAGAAGATCCAAATAAGCTCAATCAGAAATGAAACTGGAGCTATTACAACAGATGCCACAGAAATACAAATGATCATTCAAAGCTACTATAAGCACTTTTATGCACACAAACTAGAAAATCTAGAGGAAATGGATAGATTTCTGGAAATATACAACCCTCTAGATTAAATCAGGAAGAAATACAAAGCCTGAACAGACCAATGACAAGCAGCAAGACTGATTCAGTAATTATTAAAAATTGCCAACAAAAAAAATGTCTAGGACCAGATGTACTCACAGCTGAATTCTACATACATTCAAAGAAGAATTGGTACCAATCCTACTGAAACTATTCCAAAATATAGAGAAAGAGGGAATCCTCCCTAAATCATTCTATGAAGCCAGTATCAACCTAACACCAAAACCAGTAAAGGACATAACAACAATAACAACAAACTACAGACCAATATCTCTGATGAACATAGATGTAAAAATCCTCAACAAAATACTGTACTAACCGAATTCAACAGCACAACAAAAAGATAATACATCATGATCACGTGGGTTTCATCCCAAAAATGCAGGGATTATTTAATGTATGCAAGCAAATAAATGTGATACATCACATAAACAGAATGGTTTTTTTAAAAAACCATATGATTGTCTCAATAGATGCAGAAGAAGCATTTGATAATATCCAGCATCCCTTTGATAAAAACCCTTAACAAAATAGGAATAGAAGGGACTCACCTCAAAGTAACAAAAGCCATATATGACAAACCCATAGCCAACATCTACTGAATGGGGAAAAGTTTAAAGCATTCCCCCTGAGAACTGGAACAAGACAAGGATACCCACTTTCACCACTTCTATTCAACACAGGACTTTAAGTCCTAGTCAGAGCAATTAGACAGGAGAAAGAAATAAAGGGCATCCAAATTGGAAAACAGAAAGTCAAACTGTCACTGTTTGCTGATGATACAATCATATACCTAGAAAACCCTGAAGACTCATCCTAAAAGCTCCTAGATCTGACAAACAAATTCAATAAAGTCTCAGGATAAAAAATCGATATACATAAATCAGTAACACAGCTGTACACCAACAGTGGCCAAGCTGAGAATCAAATCAAGAACTCAATCCCCTTTACAACAGCTGCAAAAATAAAATAAATAAAATAAAATAAAATAACTTAGGAATCTACTTAACCAAGGAGGTGAAATATTTCTACAAGGAGAAATACAAAACACTGCTGAAAGAAATCATGGATGACACAAACAAATGAAAACACATCCCATGCTCATGGATGGGAAGAATCAATATTGTGAAAATGACCATACTGTCCAAAGCAATTTACAGATTCAGTGCAATTCTGATCAAAATACCATCATCATTCTTCACAGAACCAGAAAAAGCAATCCCAAAATTCACATGGAATCAAAAAATAGTTTGCACAGTCAAACAACACTAAGCAAAAAGAACAAATCTGAAGGCATCACATTATCTGACTTCAAATTATACTACATGGCTATAGTTACCAAAACAGCATGGTACTGGTATAAAACTAGGTAAGTTGACCAATAGAACAGAATGAGAACCTGAAATTAAAGCCAAAAACTTAGCAGCCATCTGATCTTTGACAAAGCATACAAAAATATAAATTGGAGAAAGGACATCCTAATTCAATAAATGGTGCTTGGAAAACTAGCAAGCCACATATAGGAGAATAAACCTGGATCCCCATCTCTCACCCTATGCAAAAATCAACTCAAGATGAATCAAAGACAAAATCTAAGATCTGAAACCATAAAACTTTGAAAAGATAACATCAGAGAAACTTCTGAACATTGGTTTAGGGGAAAAAATTCATGACTAAGATCCCCAAAACAAATGCAACAAAAACAAAAGTAAGTAAATGAAAGTAAATGGGGCCTAATTAAAGTAAAATGCTTCTGCACAGTAAAAGAAGTAGTCAGCAGAGTAAACAGACAACCCATAGAGTGGGAGAAAATATTTGCAAACTATGCATCTGACAAAGGGCTAGTATTCAGAATCTACAATGAACTCAAACAAATCAGAAAAAAAAAAAAAATTCCCATTATTCTAAGTGAAGTAACTCAGGAATGGAAAACTAAGTATCATATGTTCTCACTTATAAGTGAGAGCTAAGCTATGAGGATGCAAAGGCATAAGAATGATATAATGGACTTTAGGGGTTCAGGGAAGAAGGTTGGGATGGGGGCAATAGGGGTGGGTACAGTATACACTGTTTGGGTGACAGGTGCACTAAATTCTCATTAATCACCACTAAAGAGCTTATCCATGTAACCAAAAGCAATCTGTATCCCCAAAACTATTGAAATAAAAAATTTTAAATTAGAATAAAAAATTACAAAAAAGAAGTTCAGGTATCTGGTTTGGACATCATAGATTTTTGCTATCTAAATGGAGTCATTGAGTAAGAGTCAGACATATGACTCCAGATATCAAGGAGAGGTTTAGACTAAAGATATAAATTTGGGCTTGCAGCAGATACATGGTGCTTCAAGCCATGAGCCTGATTAAAGGCAAGAGTGTAAATATAGGGTAGGTTGTTAGAATCAAGTGTAAATAGAGACTAATGATGGTGCAGAATTGAGCCTAGTGTGTTTCCAACCTTAGAGTCTATGGAGATAAGAAGGGAGACTGAGAAGGAGCTGTCAATGAAATAAGAGGATGACCAGAAAAATCATAGTGTCCCCAAAGCCAAGTGAGGAATACACATCAAGGAAAAGAAAGTTATCAACTGGCTCAAATGCAGCTAATAGTCACAAGACGCAGAGGGAAAATTAGCTATTATATTTAGTAACGTGAATGTCATTGTTGGCACTGAAAAGAGGAGTGTTGATGGAGTAGTTGAAATGGAAGCTTGATTGACCGTGATTTAAGAGACAATATAAGAAGAAAATCTTGCAGGCAGTAAATGTAGTGACTATTTTGAAGTGTTTTGCTATAAAGGGGAGCAAAAAAATGAGACAGAAGTTACAGAGGCATGTGGTCTCAAGAAGATATATTTTAGATGGGAGAAATACTATGTTTGCATTCTGATGAAAATGCTCTGTGGAAGAAGAAAAAACTGATGATGTAGGGGAAAGCAAAGAATTGATCAAGTATATTCTCAAGTGGGCAAGAAGGGATGAGATCTAGCACACAGCTCAGCCCTTGAGATAGAATCCTGAACTGTGTATCCAGAATAACTGTAACAGGAGGGCACAGATACAGTCAAGAGATGGTTGTTGTGATGGGAGCTTGGTAAAGTTAATCTTCCAAGTGATTCGGTTTCTTAAAAAAAATTGGAAGTAAGGTAATCAGCAGAATGTGAGCATGGGGATGAATATTGGAGGTTTAAAAGAGAGAAGATGGTATGAAATAGTTGTCCAGAAGACAGCACAGATACATTGCCCAAAGTTGACAGAAGTTTGGATTTAACTAAGGAATAGGGTTTTGCCCAGGTTAGTTCAGTTTGAAGAGAGATAGGCAATGGAATTGAGGAAATATGCAAGGGGGTGATTATGATGTGGCTAAGAATGGAAATGATGACTTGAAGGGGATGAGTGACAAAAAAAATGGGGTTGTAGCAATGTATTGCAGGTTCTAATGTGGTAAAGAATTGTGCTGGGGTAACAGAGGCAGTAAAAAAGACAGGAGAAAGTTGGAGAGGGGGATATTATGGAGGCAATGTAGATATTGGTAACAATATCTACATTGGTGGTGGTGTAACAGGTGGAACCCAAGATCATCAGGAAAGAGAGAGGCAAGGAAGTGAGCAGACGGTGAAGCAGATATTGTGGGTGTCCTCCTAGATCTCCTTGGTCCACTCTGGAGGTCACACTAGACAGTTCTCATAAATGCTGATGGCTTCCTATATCTCTCTGTCTGGGGAGTATTTTCTGGCCACAGGCATTTACTTGGTTTGCAGGGTGTGGAGGATTCA